GTTGTTTCCATTCTTGGCATTTAGACTTTAAAAAAATCTTTGCTTGACTTTTAAATCCAGTTGCTAAAAATAAAAACTGCTTCCCTGAAAAATAAGACTACCTAATCACAAATTTATTTGTTTTTTAAAGGGGAAGGACAGCAAGGAAAAAAAAAACCTCATGGCCGAAATCAGAAATCACAAGATGCATTCATCATGTGCCCAAATGACACTCAGTTGCTACAGGAAGTCACATGCTTAGTGGGCTCTTGAGGGAGTAAGTCAGGACGTTTCCAGGACATGATTTCAGGAGAATCAGACACACAGTCTAGTCACAAAAGTCGCTTAGTTGTCCGAGTACCCTGAGCCCATGACTTCAAGACTCAGCAGCTTCATGCTTCATGGCACCGACCCTTCATGTGAGGGACACAAAGACACACTTATAAGAATCGTGGGTTTGTCCTTACTCAAAATTTGGGGGACTGGCTGAAAAACAAAACAAAACAAGGAGACCTTATCCCTCAGTGAAAGGGATTCTGCGTTACTGTCAACTAGAGCAACATATAAAATACAAAAGAGAGAGCACAGCAGCATATCAAGGGCAAACATCTCAAACAAGATCCCACTGTAAAGAGAACCAAATGGCTTTTACCTCCTTAAAGAGACCCCGAGTGCACCAGCCATCTCTCACGCAGAGGGATTTCTGAGCCTCTCAGAGCCACGTCGGGTCCGCAGGAAACGGCCGGGAGCGTGGGGCTGTGAGGAGACTCCCCGGGTGCCACGGCAAGTCAGGGGAAGTGTACGTCACGGGACGGGCATCCGTGGGGAGCCTGTGACAGTGTCCAGGACGCTCCGGGGCTGCCCGTGCCGTGAGGGATGGAAGCTTCGCTACGGGGTCACCAGAGAGGCTTTCTGTGGAGCATTTCTTGGTTTCCGTCTTGTGTTTCTGTCATGTGCGTGGCTGCAGTAAAGGCCAAATCCTTGCCCGTGACTCAGTTTTTTGCCATTTTTAAAAGACACCATCAGACTTGGTGACAGGCTGGTTAAAAAAAGTGCTTCAGGTTTTCAGTATTATTGTTTTCAAATAGAGGACTGAGTGATGAGGGAAATGAAGTTTGCTTTTCCTTGGATAGAGACCCTTCCTCCCACCATTATCCCCTCCTGACTGTTGCAAAATAGCTTAGTCCAAGGAAAGGGGAGAAGACAAATAAGTCAAATAATGTCAGAATAGGCTGTTGCCAGGAAAAACACTCTGATTCAGTTAACTTGTTCTGTTAATGTCAAAGGCTGTGATTCCCAATTAACTAATTTTAAGAAGCCGTAACCGAAAATAGCTACATCAGCCCTAAAGTTAATATTTGATGAAGATTAGGATCTTCAAGTGAGACCGGGGCCCCCAGCGAGGTGGTGGTATCTGTTTAAGATCAGCTGGCCAGACCGGACGCAGCCGCCCGGGGGCTTCACACCGGCTTTAGCCCTTAGGAGAAGCTGAGTGGGGCGAGAGGGGAGGGGGTGAGCCAAAGACTCTGGCAATAGAAAATGTTCCCCGAGCAGATTCGCGTACACTCCACGCGCTAATGACAGAAGCATCCCTACTGGGGAGTCTCTTCGGGATAGAGATGCTCCCCTAGCTCAGGTGGAACCAATTAGAGCAGGCATGTCGTGGTCAGCATTTCCAGCTCCCTCGCTGGAAGGCTCCATGTGCAGAAACCAGCACGGCCTGAGCAGCTGAGAAAAGCTGGGCCAAAAGTGACTCCACCCGCCCCTCTCCTTCCTATTCCTTTACATTGGAATGGAAAGATGTAATAATAATAATCACATTAAAAAAAAAAACCAGAATGCTCCTGGTTTCCGTCCAGTTGCAAGTGTTTTCATTGTGTATTTGAATAGGGTTAAAGTGAAGGTATACAAGCTCCGAAACGTCAAAATCATCACTTGCTAATGAAGTTGCAAATTATCCGGAAGAAAATTATGTACAGGCACATGCCAAACGGCAGAATATTTTGCCTCTAAAAGTTCAGTTATTGCCTTTGTTAATATTAAAGCCCAACAGGGAGTCGGCGGGACAGGGTTTGTTCTGTCCTGTCACGTTACGAGTTTCTGGTTTCAGATAAAAGAGGAGAAAGGGCCCTTAAGAAAGTAAAGAGCTAGGAAAAAAAAAAAAATCAGACTTCCTTCTCGGAAAGCTATGGGTTGTTTTCCTGGAGATGATGGATAATGGCATTTCGCTTTTTTTTTTTTTTAGTTTTTAATAGAGAAAATGGAGGCAAATCACAGAGGGAAAAGAGAATATTTAAATAAACAGGACAAGGTCAAGTTTCAACAAGACCTTCCCTCCTTTTTTCTTTTTCCATCTTTGCCTCTCTTTTTCTTTCCTTCCTTCTCTTGCTTTTTCTTTTCTTTTCCTTTTTTTTTTTTTTTTTTTTTTTTTTGAAATCTTAAACCCCATTTCTGGCTTGCATTTGGTAGGATTCCTGCTCTGGCTTTTATTAAAAACAGACTTTATGTGGTCAGAATTCTTCATCTAAAGCTAAACTTTAATAGGCATAAGGATCCTGACAGCGTCTCTCTTGGTCTCTCTCAGGTGACGCCCCCCCAACCCCCCAGAGGGGTTTCCCTCCCATTGCGCTGAACTGGCACTGAAACTTGAAGGCTCAGCACAAAAAAAACAACTTTCCTCTTTTACTCTGAAGTCTCATTTCTGTTTTACATTTGAGACTCTTTGCAAGGCCACGGCAAGTTAGGTCTGGCTCCAAGTGGAGAATATTCTCGAAATTTTGAATAATGCAACCGGTGTCCAACACAGACGCATTAAGCCTGGTGGATGCCCTTCTCTAGTGTGAGCCCCTGATCCCTGACTGCTGCCCAATCGCTTCCAAGTGTGAGCTCGGAAATACCAAGGGCGACTCCATCCGCTTAACAAACCAGCTTCGTGTTCAGCGGTAGCTCTGAAGGGTACAGACAAGCCAGCTTATCCGAAACCAAGAGGCAAAGCAGCCAAGCGAGCAAACAAAGACATGCACGTTCATTCCCGAGGAAAAGCACCACCAGGTTCCTCTGGTTCCTTCTCGTAGCGAAACAGACAAAGGAGCGGATCTCAAGGCTCCTGTGCGGGACCCCAGGCCGCCCACTCTCCTGCCCTCCCCCGTGGCCTCCAGACCCTCCTGGCACGACGGCAGACACAGTCCCAGCCAGTCTGAGGCTTCCTAAAACAACAACCTGATCTTGCTTGCGGTGAGGCTCAGCACTGACGTTTCTTTCTTTCTCAGTGGAAGGGAAATCCGCAGTATCGTGGCGCAGCGGTTCTCAAGGGGAAGGAGATTTCTCACCCCGCGCCCCACCCCCAAACACACTAGCGATGTCAGGACATCGTTGGTCGTCACGACTGGGGGGTGGGACTGACTCCGGAGGCCACAGGCCCGGTGCTGCTAAGCGAACTAAAGCACGAGGCCGGCTCCCCACGACAGAGGTGGCGGGAGGGCCGGGGTTAGGAGCCTGGGATTGCGGTCGGGGGCCTGGGGTCTGGGGTCTGCGGGGGAGTGAAGCCCAGCTCCGTTAGGGTCCGGCTGAGCAGCCTCGGGCAAGCTGTCTGCACCTCTGGGCCTCATCCGTCAAATGGACGATCCCCGTCCTCTTGGGTCGTGGCGGCAGGACCCGGACGCAGCCGGCCAGCAGCCAGGCCGCCGCCTCGCATGCCCGAGGGCACCGGAGCAGCAGCCCTTGCTTTTACTGTTACTACTAGAAATCTAGGTCCGTTTCAGGTAAACTGTAAGCTGAACCTTACTTCCCAAGGACAAAGACTCAGGATTGAGAGGACAGATATCCTTTCTGGTCAGGACCAAAGTGACGACAACCCTAGCAGCCCCGGGGCCGTGTGGCTGTCAGGCCCGGCACAGGCGACGGGCCACCGTCCCGCTCAGCGCGTCCTGCTTCACAGGCGGGAGCCCTGAGCGCCGAGTCGAACGAGCGGGGCAAGGTCTGTAGCAGACCAGGCCTCCCGCCGCCTCCTGCCCTGCTCGCCCTCTGACGCCGCCGTCCGGGAGCCCGTCTCAGACGCCCCTTCTCTCCGGCGCCGCGACAGCCCGGAGCCCGGATGAGCGCAAGCCCCGCCGGCAGCGCGAGGGGACGCAGGCGTCAGGCCTGCGCGGAGTCACTCGTCCTCCGTGTCCCCGCACTGCGAGGTTTCCTGCGTAACGCGCGCCAAGGCGTGCATCGTCTGAACGGGATTTTCTAGACAAAGTTACATTTCCGCCCGGCTACTGTCCCTTCCTTTTGAAATTTCCGAGTGGGGGGCAAACCCGCCCAAGTCCTTCTCTCGTGAAATCGCGAATCGTACACACGGTACCTCCGGGCTAGAGACGTCGGAAGGGGCGGACAGCTCCGGCCCGGGTGTCCGTCCCGCCCTGCTCCGGCCCCGGGTCGGCGGGACACGTCGGCTCCCGCGCCGGGACGCGCCACTCGCCGCCCGCGCTTCCGGCTCGCACGTGCCGGGCGGCCTCGCGGCAGGCGTCGCGCCTCGGCACAGTCTGCACGGCCGGTCTGGAACCGCCGCAACCGTCGCCGCTTTTCCTGGCTGCGCTAGTGGGCGTAACGGGCGGGAGGGTTGCGGTTCGCGGCGAGCCGCTGCTGTCCCTGCGGCGAGGCTTTCCCAGAGCGGCTCCGGCCGCAGCGCGGGCCTCGCCTCAGCCCGGGCCTCCCGCGACCCGCCCCTGCTCCGCGGGATCGCGCGGGCGGCCGTGCCGATGGCGTCCCGCGGACCCCGCTCTCCCCGGCCCCGCTGACTTTGTGCCGGTCGACACAGGAGGGTCTGGACCACGTCCTGGATTTTAATCGTGTCCCAGGCCCCGCGGTTTCCCCACGATACCCGCCGCCCGGGCGAAAACCGCAAAGGCGCACGGTAGCGTCTCTGCGGGCTTCTTTCCCAAGTAAGCTCCGTCTGTTTCGCTAGAGAGAGGCCGAGAGGCCCCGGAGGCCGCGGAGGCCCGGGAGCGCCCCCACGCGGCGGCCGGCAGGACACTCACCTGGGGACGCTGGGCGGGGCCCTCGTGGGCCGGGAGGGCACCTGCGGGGGGGCGCCTCCGAACCAGTCGCCGCCGCCGCCGCCGCCGCTGGGGAAGGGGGGCAGCGGGCCAGGCCTGAAGGGCACCGGGGGCGCCCCCGAGTGGGGTCCGGGGGAGGGCACGGCGGGTGCGGGCCCCCGGCCGGATGCAGGCCGGGCGAGAGGAGCGCTGGGCGTCGGCCGCCTCTGGGTGGTGGGGCTCGGAGGGGGGGACCTGCGGACAGAGCAGAGCAGTGTCGGTCGAACGCATCGCAGACGGATATTGTATGACTTCCGGGCTGCTCTGCACAAATCATCCCTTTCTCGGGGCACTTGGGGTCGTGTCAAGAACGTTGGAGAGTATAAGGGGGGCGGTGCCTGGCTGGGCTCCTGACCTCCAGGTGGGGGGTTTGAGCCCCAGCGCGGGTGTAGAGATTACTTAAATGAATTTTTTTTTTTTTAAAGGTATAAAAGGGGTAAATGGTGAAAAGGAAGTTCCCCTCCCCCAACCCTTCACTCTGCGGAGACAACCGGTAGCACTTTCTGGTGTGTCCTGTCCAGTGTGTTCTCTGACACAGCACAGCACCATACGATATTCCCGCTCGAGAATATGCTCTACAACATATACATTTTTTTTGTACCTGTTACAATATAACGTTCTACAACTTACTTTTTTTAAAGCTTCCCATTAACTTCTCTTTTCATTTCAGTATAGAACAGTCTTCGCCGCTCTGAGGCCTGTGTGACCGTCCACGGTAAGGACGTGTGCTGCTCCCGTTTCTGAAGGGATCGCTGGACCCTCCCTTTCGCTCCTGGACATAAATACCTTTTCTCCTCCCTATTCCTTAGGCTCAGGGTGGCTTAGGGAAGCTCACTCAGAAAATGGTATTGGACGAGCCCGGCAGGCCCCGGGGGGCACGGGGCCGTTTCCCTACCTGCGGGAATGCTGTATCCAGGAGTCATCCACCGGGGGCGGCGCGGGGGTGAAGGTGGTGGCCGTGTTGATGTCGCCAATGATCACAAGGGCTTCCTTAAGGGCTTGGTACATGCGAAGCATCTCGTCCCGGCGCTGCGCCTGCTCCGCGGACTCCTCCATCAGCGTGTTCTGGTCCTCGGAGGAGTACAGCTGGGCGAGGAGCTCGGAGTTTATGAAATCTTTAACCTGTCGGGTCACCACGGAAAGTAAGCACGGGAACACAGGAGCGGTCAGATGGCGTAAACCGGCTCAGGGCCTGCAGACCAGGTCCACAGCGGTCCCGCTCGGGGAAAGGTATGTGACATACAAGATGGACGCGGGGTCCACGTCTGTTCACACTTCTCTTCTTCACTTCCTCCCTCCCCGCCCTCCGCGCCAGGGCAGGAGCGCTCTTGCCCTGCCTCAGGGTCGTGGACCGAAAGAAACCTTGATTAGCTGGAAGAGGACTAAACCCTGTCGTCCCCAGCACAGGGCCTGCTGGCTTTGCCGGCATTTCCTCGGTGCTGTCCGAGGCTGCTTGGCCCGGAGATGAGGGCAGGTACCTGCACGTAAGCAGCAGTATTTTCAGCAGAAAACAAGGATTTAAAGAAACCTAGGTAATAACCCAAGTTATCCAACCTTTGGTATTCCCAATTCTTTACCTCGCTTTTACCAAAATCACTGGAATACTATTAAGATCCTGGGTTTCAAAGTCAACTCAAAAGTGGAATGAGCACCAATAAGTCAATTTTTATTAAATACAGAAACTTATATAATCATGCAAGTTGATTTACCCCCCCCCAAATGGGAGGGGTATACTCTCAACTTTCTAGAAGTTTACAGTAGAACTACTTAACGGTAACGAGGAGTGACAGGAGTTTCCAAAGTTAACAGATACATGAAAACAGACTGAAGTACGAAAGGTGTAGGAGTCCTAGGGGAGGGGCGGTGTGTAGCAGGATGAGAAGGGAGAGGATTCACACATTGCACGGCACGGAGGGAGGAAGTACCAGCCACCGTATCTCATCAAATCAAAGATACCAGGAATTTTAATCCGCACCATTTCATGAGCCACCAAGAAAGAGAAAATAGCATTAATTAAACTATGACAGAATGCCAAGATGCCACTGAGTGTGACACGCATCTTCATGGCAGAACTATTCAATGTGAAACAAGTGAATGTGGGAATCAATGAAAGACCGTGTGTCCCACGTACGTTCGCAAGTTATCTGACCGGATTCTCACCACGTCCATATGCAATCTGTTACGATCTCGGTTTTACAGAGGAAGAAAATGAAGTTCAGAGTGTTCAGTAACTTGCCCAAAGTCACATAGCATTAAGGTGAACCCCAAGTCTTTGGGCTCAAGGTCTAGTGCTCTTTCCGTTACCTCCTTACCCGACTTGATTGAGTGCTCAGCAAAGACATGCTTATGTCTGAGCGTCATGACTGTCGAGTGGTATTCCAAGAATGCTGGTTAACTTAGCCTACAAAAATAAACCAACTTGGATTGTTCAGTTTTTCTGTTAAATGAGACTCATACTTATCTAGAGTCACTGGCTCTTTCTAGGAAAGACCAAAGGCCAGCATATTTAATTGTCACAAATTCAGGCAGACAGCGGCACAGCTGTGAGAGGCTCAGAATCCCTGGGTTGTAGTGAACTGTGTAACCAAGAGATGACAAGACTCGAAAACACATAGCTTTATTATTTGTTAAAGGTATCACACTAAGTGAATAATCCTACTGATCAGGAAATTCAGCTAAATCGCAGCTTCACTGCGGTGTAATAAGTATTCTCTGCACATTGTGCAAACCAAGAGTGATTCAAATGTGGAGGTGATCTAGAAGACAAGACGTATCTGGGCAACTCTCTAGGAGGGTAGAAGGTTTGTGTGTGATAGCTGCGGAAGGTAAGTCCGGCCGGGTAGCCTGAGGCCAGATGTGAAAGCCTCGAACGCCAAGGAAAAGTGCTGGGACTTCAGACACTTGGCAGTGGGAAGCCACGGAAGACTTTTAAGGAAGTAAGTGAAACGATAAAAGAGTTTTAGGAAAAGTAATCTGTCTGTGATTGGAAAAGAATTTGCAGGGGTGGTAGCAGAGAGAAAGAAATCTGATGGAAGACCACTTCAGCTCATTTCTGAGATGGTGGGGCCTTCGTCTGGTGAGGCTGCAGGGGAACAGAGAAGATGCGCACAGACCGGTTACCCTGGAGAGGAAACCCAGGTGGGCGCGGTGAGGTTTTGATGTGAAGAGGCAGGAGCAAAAGGAACAAGGACACTTCAGGCACGGAGGGCGGTGAGTCCGGGCACAGAAAATCAAGTCGGGAAGGAAAAGTCAAAGACAGTAAATTTGGCTTAAGGATTATTTCATTCCCCCGCACCCCCCCCCATTTTTTCTGAGATTTAGTCACTTTTAAAACACACTTGCAGGTATCCAAGGAGTCAGGGACATCCACGCGAATCCTCCGCCGCTGGGCATGCGCCTGCACGCAGAGAGATGATGCAACGCGAAACTCAAAACCAGACAGTTTTCCTGGCACTGAACAGCCGTTGGGCTAAGCTAGCTTGAAGCTTTATGTCGAGCTGGAGTATCACTTAGAATCTATTAAACACAATTTTAAAAGAAGGTCCTTCCAAGAATAGATTTAAAGCAGATCTGAATGAAGAAGCGACTGTCAAACCAAGCATGAAATATAATCATAAGGGCTTATTTCAGCGTTCTGCTCAAAGACCTGCCTTGAATCAACTCTTCCACATCAGCCCATGACACACTAGAACTCGCCTACCGTCCCGAAGATTTGGCAACGTTCTGACTTAACAGGAGGATCGCTACTAGCGCGGGGCAAAGTGGCAGGACGGCGCAGTGGGTAAGGGCGCACGCTCTGCGATCAGACCGCTCTGCATCTGAGTCCAAGTGCCCACACTTAACCGTTCTTGAGCGGGCAACCACCTCTTCCCGTCTCAGGCTCCTGATCTGTAAAATGGGACCAGCAGTAGCAGCTGTCTCGAGCCGCTGTGAGGATCGAGTGCTAGAATGATTGTAAATTGCTTCACACAAGGCCTAGCATCTCGTTAGCGCTCTGCAAGCCGAAGCTGTTCTTTCGAAAGCGTGGGGATGAAACTGGCATGAGCTGCTTCGAGGGAGAAGAACAAATAGAAAGCCATGGCCGTCGTACAGGCATCGGGAGACACAGTTCGATACAGAGCGGGGTTAACGTTTTATTTTGCCTTGAAAAAAAATTTTATTCACTCTTCTCCTGCTCGCCTTGCCTTGGGATCCCACAACCCGAACAAAGGGTAGGGGGGAGTCAGGGAGTTTCCAGACACTTCAGGGACTTTCTGGTGCAAATATGTAAATCAAAGATCCTGCAAGACCGACAGTCAAGGCCTTGGAGGTGATGGCGTTTAGAATACACCTCACAGGACACGACATAAACGAATTATACTTGGATGCAAGACTTGAAATAATATTTATGCTTTTAATTATAACACCTTATAACATACACATCTTGGTATGGTTCACGAAAAAATTCTCATACACAGAATCTCATTCCAGCTCAGACTCTACAGGCTGGATTAACAGGCATGACCGCACCACGTCGCGCCGCTCAGTGTAAAGGAATGTGAGGTCATTAAAAGCGTTCCGCGTGTTTTCCTCTCTTACTTTAACCCTTCTCTAGCAACCTGCAGTGCTTCTGGATCTGAAGCCTTCTTTGTCTTCATGATTAAGGCCATTTTAAATACTTCGCAAACAGAAGGGACATTCCTCGAATTTTCACACAATTCTGTTACTAAGGAGACCATTGCCTTAAAATGTCTGTTTCTAGACGGGAGAGAGTCTGCAACACTGGGATCGCTCGCACTCACGTGAATACATGTATACAAAAATGTGGCTGAGCAGTTTAAATTGGCCTAGTTTGGGAAAGGGGCTTGGTTAGAAGCTTGTGATTCTCCGAGATTCACAATTCTTTCATGTCTGCTCTGGCGTCCTTTCCACTTCTCGGGGACTTGTTTCTGCTAAAGGATGATGACGTTTCCCTTCTTGAAAAAGTGACATCCTTTGCCTCACACACCTAATGTCAAACCAAAGAAGTTAGACATCAAAGAGCACCCACCATATGACTGCAGAGTCCAAGATCAGTCAGAACTGACTCAAGCTGTGCTCTGCAAGAAACCAGAAGCGGTTCCCTTGCTGGGGACTGACGGGCGTGGGGAGGCCGAGGGGGGAGGGCGGCAGGCTTCTGGATCCTGGTCCCGATCTGTTTCTTGAGCAGATGCTAAATTCTTGACCCAAGGAAACAAATCAGTGCCCTGGTATTTAAGCCACACTTTCCCCTCAAATAATGAACATTTGAAATAACGCTCGACTTCAAACACATGAAAGTCACAGTGAGTTTTGAAACTAGGGCACATGTTACTAATTTTCCAGCAGAGTGCCACCGGCCAAGGAGAGTCAACGTGGAGCTCTGGGGTGCGGGGGTGTGGGGGTGCGGGGGTCCAGTGGCAGTGCGCACTCCAAGTGTGAAACGCCTCCGGGCTTCATTTCGGATTCTTAGAAATTTCATAAAAACTTTATGTTCTATTTTGTATTACCTGGACTTGTTTGAATTACTAGTTAAGATTTAAAACCTTGTTTCTCATATTCAAACAAACCCTAATTAAATCTTTGCCTAAATGAGCCTTCTGGGAAGACACACAGGCCTGTGCTCTGGGCAGAGCAGCCCCGAATCTGAGGGGCCTGCGCTCACCCACCCTGCCCCATGTGCCACCTGACCCAGGATGACAAGGTCTGGGTTTTTGTCTTAACTCTGCCAGCCCCAGTGGCGTGACCCCGGGCGAGTCACCTAACTTCTCGGAGCCTCCGTTCCTTCATTTAGAATCTGGGCAAAGGCATGCGTGCCTCGGGGGTGGCTGTCCCGGGCGAGCCACCACGGACCCCTGAGCCGCTGTGCCATGCAGATGTGCACAGTAAAGCTGGGGTCCCTCTCCCGATCTCGCACAGAAAATCTTCCGGGGCGGGGCGAATGGGGGGGCTACAGACTGTGCTCACCCTGGGAGGCGGGACGTGTGTGAACGTGGAAGTCCTGGACAGAGCCCCGCCGCGACGACGGCAGCGCGCCCTGAGGGACCGGCTGTCACAAACTTGCCATCTCTGTGTGTCACAAACGTGCCGTCTCTCTGTGCCGCTGCTCCCCGCGAGCTTAAGGGCTCCAGCAGCTGCGGCGTTTCAGCAGACAAAGGCTTACAGTATGTCTGAGCGAGGCATTTACCGCCGGCCCTAAACTTCTTAAATAATTCCATATGGAGGCTTGAGTGGCAGACACTTAATGTAAACTTTCTAAGGAAACTGCCCCCCGAATTCTGACACTTTACCAAAGTCGGCAGAAACATACTCTTTTTCAGAAGGCAGGGGCAGCCAGGCCCATTTCCAAGAGGAAAGGCCACGGGGCGGCCTTTGATGGTGACTTGTCCACCGACCGAGGACCCCGTGCCAGGCGCTCGGTGGTGCTGGACACCAGCGTCCGCCCAGAGCCGTCCGTGGGAGCAGCAGGTTACGGGGCTGGGATTCCGAGCGAGGAGGCCACGCTTGCTCTGTTCATGATTCTGCGATGAATTCTCCACCTTGAAGATCTTAACATCGAACACGGCGTCGACATGTTTGCAAGACACGGGGCTGGGGGTTCCGGCGCGGCAGGTCCTCGTGCTCCACGGGGCCCTCCCGGAGCAGACACGAGAGGCTCAGACATTCTGTCCAATAAGGTGCCCTGAGCATGCGGCCTTTAGAGGAGCAGGTCGTACTTCTACGTATATGTCATTGTCGCATCTTTACGTGTACATGTCTTGTAAAAGAAAGCAGACAAAATGATAGTCCAGGGAATGTGGTCATCTGAGATATGTGGAACTCTTTTCTGACAGATACAAAAAGTTTCATTTCAAAACACTGATAACCATCATTTTGCGAGAATCCAGCATTACGTGATGGCTCTGTTTCCCCCATTCCTGTGAGTCTTGACGTCGAGGTCTTCTTTCTCATTCTTCTCCTGCAAGATCTCTCTCAAGACAGCTTGCAGAGCCCCACGGCCATGGAGAGTCCCCCGGGGTGGGAGATCAGCCACCTGCTTCAAGCCAACGCACACACCGGCGAGGGAGAGGCCCTTACCCCCAGGTCTCTCTGGGTAGGTGTGCGTGCGGGTTTCTTGAGAAGGTGAAAGTAGGATGCATTTGTAAGAGGGTCTTTTTTTCTTCTTCCTTTTAACTAATTAGTGTCAGGCGACTCCTCCCACGATAGTAAGTAAGTGCTGTTTGGGGCTAACGATTTGCTGTGGTGCAGAGCAGCACCGTGTTGAACGGGGGCCGCACTAACGACTGGCGAGAAAACAGCGAGAAGATAAATGACGCTTAATCAGGAAAATGTCTAAATAAGGAAGTGCCTGGACATACCACAGCAAAACAACCGGAACCCATTTAAGCAAAATTAGGAGGGTGATTTTAACAATACACAGACTGTTTGTTTAGTCCTCTGTATTTTTCAGAATGACACAGAGTTCTGACCGTTCAGCGAGGCGGCACAGTGCTCTGTTCTGATCATAAGAACGTGACTGACTTCCACTCAGAGGGGCCAGATAATTTGCTTCAGGTCACACAGCAGGCCGTGGACTGAGCTGAAGAACAGAATTCGTGGTTTCCGAACTTCCAGTTTATTCCTTCCTTACCGCTGATACCTCAAAGCATCCCAACAACCTTGTTCGAGTATGTAAAAACGTGCAAGGGAACAGCATTAAAAACCATGGTGCTTAGAGCTTCAAGAACGGTTTCCTTCAAGGGTGTCTTCCCGGAAACCTTTCTTCAAGGAATGAACACACCATGAACCGCAAATACAATGTCAAGTTTTGAAAAGAAATCTTGAAATATGAGTAAAGGTTCTTTCCAGTTCTGAAATCGGCAGGCAGCCACATTGGTTTCTTACCCGTATATTCTTCATAGAATTCCCATATACACCACCTTCTGAAATAAATCCCTGAGTCAGGTACCTTTTCCATGATTCGTATTTTACTTATGGAGGAAATGGAGGCAAAGAAGTGAACGGATTTGTCCTGAGGTCAACAGACTCTAGAGCAGAACCAGGCGAGAGCAGAGGTCTCTCCCAGATTCCGGCGTGTCCGGGACGTTTGCACGCTCATCTGTGTGTGCTACAAGCAAGTGCTCATAATGTATCATTGACGTAAATAAAAAGGCGTCCCGAGACGACAGCTAGACCAAAAATGTTGCTGTCTCCTTTTCAAGAGTCAGAAGAGCCAGTTATAATACACCGCATTATGGCCTCTTATCTAAAAGACAGTTTCTCAAATAACTTGATATTATTTGCACTTTAATACAGTAGCTGCCAAAAGACCCGAACCAGATCGCGTAACTTAAGAATCCTGTCCTGACTACTGTAAAGCAACCACGAAGAGGGAGGGATTCCACATGCTCCCGATCAACTGAGGGCTTGTCTAACCGGGGCCTGAAGATGTGTGGCATCACACCCCAACCGCAGAAAGGAGGACTGGCCTGACTCTGGATCCAAGGGGAGAGGGCGAAAAGCTGTTTTGCAGGTTAAAATAGCATTCCATGGCTTTTAGAAGGTGAAAATAATTAAATCAACATACTTTCTACGTGTTTGTGTGTAGAAAAGAAGAAATATTTTTGGCTTTGAATCTCAAAGTCTAGGAGCCAGGCATCTGATTCCATTGCCGGCTTTGCGATGAACTCGCACCGTGACCACAGCTCAGCATTTCTGCTCTGCTTCCCTGGGAGCAAAGGTGACAGGGAACCCCACAGAGCAGACAGGCGACAGGGAACCCCACGGTTCCGTGCCTGTAAGCCCCATGTTGGGTTTCCAAAATTCTCTTTCCCTGGTCAGTCCCTGACCGCTAGTAATAGAAAGTGAGGAACCTGGGCCACGGGTGCTTCAACCACCCAGACGACACCACAAAGAAGTTGATGGGAATACGAGCACTTTTGCACTGAGACGGGTCAGAGGTTCACGGGAGACAGCTGATCGCCACTTACATTATTGATCATAAGGTGCATGATTGTTTTTGGAATTAGATCCCGGATGCATTTGTTGATGATGGACATGTAGGAATCCACGAGGTTGCGGATGGTCTCCACTTGTCTCTCCAGCTGTGGGTCCACGGAGAAGTTCTCTGCTTGGCCGTTCTCGTCACTTTCAGTCTAGCGGAAAGGAAAGGACACACGGGTTATTTCACGTTCCTTCCGAAGAACAAAATAGCGTATGTTACCGGATGATCACCTCCTGATCACTCTACCGGGGAGTTCTAGTACTAGACGGTGACCAACTCTATCTTCAACACACCCGGTAATTCTGAGAAGAGATCAGAACCACGCAGTTACTCCTCCACGCTTAGCGACCCCCGCCCCAGGAAAAGCACCCCCCTGCGTGAATGCTGAGGTGACCAGCCAGATACACCGTGCACCTAACAACCGACTTCTAGAGAACAATGTAATCCTCAGCCATTTGCAAACTGGCTGACGAACTGAATCCAAGCGAGTGATGCAGATGCAAACCTCTGGGGTTCTACAGATTAGAAATAACCTTGGTGTTGTTCTGGAACCCCTAGGCCTGTTCTGGAATGGATCAGCATTTGGATGAGCCCAGGTTTTAAAACGAAATCTCCTAGGTCTGGCCTGGAGCCAAAATAAGAGATAAAGGGAATAATTCATCTTTCCATGCACTTGCTGGAATTTGTTCCATAAATTCATGCTTCTGTCATCACTACTAAAGGCTCCATTGTGGAAAACTTACAATTTTAACTTCCAACTTGTTATTCTTTGAATAAAACAGAACACATCTATACACAAAGAATTTATTTGTGCAACATGAGAGAAGCATCTGTTTTCTATACTTTGGGACTTGAGTTAATTAATTTTGGCTTATCCACCAGAGGCTGGGCTGGAATGGCATCTTCGTCATTAAGGGCTGACCTATTGGCTTGGCATTGAAATCAATTTAGAACAAATGGTCTCCATTTCAAGTCAGGTTGAACCATCTAAGCCCCAGAACATGATACAAATATTGTTAGTGGTCTGGCTACTTTCTAACATTTGGAAAGATTTAATTACAAATGCAAAAAAAAGGGGGGGAGATAATTTATTGCTTCCATTGTAGACATGAAGTACTTTTCCTTGGAAATGTACATACTTTGATCTGCCAGGTTTTCAATCATCCTATCAGTTTTAGGCAAAGCCCTGTGTTTAAACAGATCTATAAATGGCAAACTTTTCCTTTGAATTAATACGCATGTGTGAAAGGCGTATTTGTAGGCCTCCAAAGTCAACGATAACAGGGAGAGAAATAGGTCCTAATCATTTATATAGGTTTCTCTTGCTCAGGAATATCCAATAGTTTTTAAAAATATTAAAATAGGGGCGCCTGTCAGTCATTAAGCATCTGCCTTCGGCTCAGGTTGCGATCCCGGGGTCCTGGAATGGAGCCCCACATCAGGCTTCTGCTTGGTGGGAACCTGCTTCTCCCTCTCCCACACATCTTGCTTTGTTCCTGCTCTCACTGTCTCTTTCTCTGTCAAATAAATAAATAAGACCTTTAAAGAACATTACAATAATGTGCTCACTCTAAAACACAACACTCGTTCCTCCAACCCGGAGAGTAGGACCACAGGCTTCAGAGTGAGAGCTTCGAGGCCATTTCAGAGGCCTCCTGCTGCTTCTCCCGAAAGGTAGAGGCAGTTTCAAACATGACAGTGGTTTGAAATGGTCTTTGGTCACTGAGACAGAGGGAACTGAATCGAGTCTTCTGTAGTTCTTTATTTTTATTATTAATCGGTGATACACAAGCACAGTGGGATCTAGGACAAATGGGTAAAAGGCCGAGGCCATAAAGCGGCAGGTAGAGGGAAGGTAAAGCCACGGCAGCGAAGAAACAATCATGTTTCCCAGCTTCTCCCTGGGGCACAGGAACCACTGCAAACGTGCTGCATGCTGAGCCCACAGTGTAAGTCAGTGGTACCTGCAAAGTCGTTTTAAGGATAATGTATTTGAAAGTGAAAACTTCAGGTTCAAATTCAGGCTCTGTTGTGTATTGGCTGGGTGGCCGCGTTTCAGTCACTTGATGTAATTTAAGCTCAGCTTCCCTATCTTTAAAATGGGGATACACGTCCCTGATAAACTTGGAGAAGCTAAAGGAGATAACACACAGGAGATGACCTAGCCAGGGGCCTCAATAAATGTTAGCTGCTTTCCTTCCTTTCTGAACATTCATGGAGTAAGAGTTAGCTGTCTCTCAACACACACCATGAAAATTTAAGATAAAAAATTTGTGCATGAAACATTTTCAATTCAAGCAATATAAAAATGGCAAGGGTATTTTTTTTAAAACACCTCCATGTTTTCTGCAAGCTACTCCCCTCTGCCTGGACCCCCCTCCCCCCACTGTGAAGGTCTTTCATCTTTCAGAGCCTTGGTTCGTCGTTGCCTCTGGACAAAGCTCCTGCTGGACCCTAGACCCGTCGCGCCCTCCTCAGCACGTCCTCTGTGTCTCGCATTCACTTCTATGATTTAATACCAGCCTCATTTTATGCTCTTCTGTTAGATTCTGGGGTCTTGTTTATCTCTCCCTTCTCAGCACCCGGCACAGAGCTCCATGCACGGGAGAAGGAGTTAACAACTGCACAAGGGGTTTACTTAAATCCAGGAAGCGGCTCTGGTGCCTTCCGGGGGCTCCCAGTGTGCCTGCCTACGTGCCAGAGACACTGGAGAGCAGAGAAACCCCAGGGTGATGAGTTAGGACCCATGACTACTTGATAGCACTGAGAATGATACAATGATTATGAAATTATGTATATAAAGGAGAAGAGATGACCGATGGCTTTGGGAGGAAAACAGCTTTTATGCCAAGCGACCTACACCTCCGCGATGGATAAAATACAATTCAGTTTGCCTCTCTGATCTGAAATATACTGAGGTTTTGCTAAGGTGTTTAACAGTCGGGAGGGATGACATTTCAGCATCAACATCCCGCCTGTCCTAGGAACACTTGAGCATTTGCCATGTTCTGGGTACTGTGCGAAGCACTTTGCCGGGAGGGTCCACACCACAACCTCGTTACTGGCCACCTACCCTCGGAAGAGCACGCTGAGCCTCTGAGAGCTGAAATCAGTTCAGGGAGTGTAAGAGGCATATGACTTTAACAAATTTCTTTTTCTTCCGTAAGTATAAAAAAATCAAGAAGTATTATGAGACACTGAAACATCCATAATACGTCAAGTCAGTTTCATAGATAAAATAATAAATGTGAAAAGAGTTTCCAGGAAGGAGAGGTCATGGAAATATTGCTACTTGTTAAAAAAAAAAAAAAGACTGAAACAGAAAAGCAGAGTAAATAGTATTTTTAAAAGAACCTCCAGAAATATAAAACACCAAGAAATTATATCATCATCTGCATGTTTACATAGAAACAGTGAATTTTCCCACTTCACACTACTTTTAGCATTTAGCCTTACTTTACTTTTTGCCTATCAAAACACACAAAAGATGTTCACTTTCACTTTTTAAAACCAGATGCAAATAATAAGGAAAGTGTTGAGTGAATGGAGAACACTGAATGGATTCTCAACACACATACACACACGCGCGCGTGCACGCACACACACACACACACACACACACACACACACACACGCACCCCCCAAGAAGTATTCCAGAATAACCCATAAAACAATTCGAAGTTCTCTTTAGCTTTTGGAAATATGTGGTCACGTGCAAACTTTAATTACCCAGATAATACCATGGACGGGACGGGGAGTCACAGAATTCAGAATGCAAGTTGACTTTCTTCTCTGATTTTAGAAAGAGAGAAAGGAGTGCTTGCCCTTTCTAATATATCTAAGACAAATGGGAGAAATGTGCAGAGATGGACTTTTTCTTTTAACTGAGTAATGTCAGAGAGCAAATGTTCCCTTTTCTCTGACCCAGTTGTAACCAAATTCTCTGTCGTGCTCGTCCCTGCATGTACACTGGGTACGACTGTGTATTTCTTCTTTGTTTAAATTACAGGATGGCAGCGGGATTCTCTGCAGCCGAAGCACCGTAGTGACAGCTGTTTATCATTATCCTCATCAAGGGAATGTAAAATAAAAATAGTAATTTGTCTCTGATCTTTGAGGCAAAGAAGAACGGTCTGCAAACATTTAACCTTTTATGTGCAGGTTCATTGATGCTGTTTACAAAATGTGAATAATATTGTGAAAACCAGCTTTCTTCTGAAAAATACAATGGACCGGCCTTCCTATTGCCAATTTTGTTCTAAACAGCTTTTGTGAGATCTAATGCCACTTAAACAATGAAAAACAACAACTCAGCACTGTAACTTGTTTATAAAAAAAATTGTCATTTTCTTTCTTGTGAAGCTATTTGCACGGTACTCAAGAAACAGTCTGTTTTACATTTTAATTTAAAAGCGTTCTCCTAGAGACTTAATACTTTGACAGGTGAGAGGACAAAAGAGTCGCTCCGGAAATAATTCCCACCGTACCTTAGGGCAACCGTTACAAGAGAGGTGGGTTGGATGGGGGATGTCTATTTTTCGTGTGTGTTGTTTTCACCTCTTCTCTTTCCTTAAATTTCTTATTCAATTATGTCATAGGCTTCTTGGAGGATCACTGAAACCACCTCTATAAGGTTATTTTCTTAAGGTGACTGCAACTCTTTAAAAGTGGAATGACAGAAATGCAAAGTGTCCCGGCAAATACATGTGCATAAACTTCCTAATTAATGGGGGAGGGGGGTCTGCTGCGTCTCTTCTCACAGCGGAGAGCATCGCACCATAACCTACAGATCTACCCAAGCGATTTTTCCAGATAAGCAATGCTTGCCCCTTTCTAAGCATCTTAGAAAGGGGCAATTTCTCCCACACCTTAAACAAACAGTAGAAAAATATCACTTAACTTTTTCTTAGTGGATCAGGTCATCATTACGAAAAATAGTGTCACCACGCTAACGCAGCTTTGCATTTTCCAGCCCGTATTATGAAGAATGTCTCCCTGAAACCTTCCCCACTTCCAGTCACGTACGTCTTCTCATTTGCGGAGGCAAGTTCGAGGCTAATTTGCAGAGTCAGGCGACGAAACTTGTAAAAACCCAAAAAACCAAACTCAAAAGCTATGGAAAACACGTGCCCTAGAAAGCCTTTGAGAGGA